AAAGTTGTTGCTTCTATATTTTCTTTTTTTTTTTTTACAAAATATATACATATCTATATCAAAATAAAGACATACAGATAAACCTACATATGAACGATTCTAATAACAGAGACAACATAAATGGCGCATGACATTAACTTACTAATTACATAGCTAAAACCATTAACATAACTAATTAAATAGTTGAAGGAAAATAACTCAACAACTACAGCAACAAATATTTAAGAAAAGAATAACTTCAAAGAAAATAACTTAATAATTACAGCAATAGTTTTCTTTAAAAAAAAAAACTTAAATAACCACAATACTAATGATTAGAGATATTAGCTTAAGCAACTATAGCAATAATGGAAGACATTGTATGCACAAATTTTAACAGAAAGTGATATATACATAAATGCTAACAGAAAATATTTATATCTATACATAAATTTTAACAGAAAAATACTTATATACATAACAATAAAATATAGTTAGCCATACTAATTAGTATTAGTTAACTGTAACAACAATGGCTTACTTAATCAAACGAGTGAATGCAGAAGTTACAATTAAAAAAAAAACTCAAAAAAAAAAAAAAAGGTCATATCAAATAACTCAGCATAGTAACCAATAGTACTCATACTGTTTACTTTATCACTAGCATGATATAACTTACCACTCACATTTTGCCAGCATGAATAATGATAAAGTAAAAAAAAGTAAAAGTAAAAAAAAAAGTAAAATAAGGACAAAGGAGAAGTATTCACGTGAGGAGGTGAGGCTTGTCTTATTATTAGATGCAAGCAGAGAACCAAGCTCTGGCTTTAAAACGGGAGGAGGTGGAGAGGCTGAGAGTGAAAGAAGGATCTGTTCTCGGTGAGTAAGTGAAATTTGGATGGCAGTGAGACTCGACACAGGACACAGGTATTAGAAGCGACGGAAGTTTCGGAGGCTTTCTTTTTTTTTTTTTTTGGAGTTTCTGGTAAGAACTGTGAGGTCCAGACGTTCGCCTGGAGTTGAAGAAGCACGCAGAGAGGGAGGGAGGTCGGATGTGGACTTGAGGAACTGTAGCGTGAAAGATTTTTGAAGTCGAGCAAGCAAACCACATGCCTTGTTCTGCTTCCATTTAACGACGAGCCATTTGTTCGATCGAGGCTTTGCGAGAAGACGTGGAACCAGAGCCAGCAGCGGGATTTAAGGGATTTAATCAGAGATTTTGCGCAGGATTTTGACGAAGCCGAGGTGTGCATTTAGTATGATTGGATTTTTCATTTGACCTTAAATTTCATTCTTTTATTAAATTTTTTTTTTAAAAAAAAAAAATTGAAAGTTAGGCTAATGCATTGCCATGATTAATAGGTTAGCATGCTGAGCATAAAAATGGGAATTATTAGTAATTTCTACTTCTCAATATCTACCAAGAACCGTTGTCTGATATCTTAGTGCTGCAAGTCTTGTTTATTTCATCAGCCGAAGGAAGAGATTTTAATGTGTGGACAACCCATCAAATTGTTCATCCATATCTTAGAGCTTGCACCCATGTATTTCTTTTTACTTAAGTTCCCTTGACATTTTGGTAGTTGAAGTTCGTCGAGCACATTCTTGACGAAATCAAAATTTTCCCTGAATTAATAAGCTTCGTCTCTCGGCACATAATTTGGCATTGCAAGCCTCCTCGGCATCCTTCACATTTTAAAGAAAATCTGATTCTTAAATGGTGAAGCTCATTCATATGCTCTAGCCATTCTCACTTTTAACATAAAATCCATATAGTTTTTGAAGAGAATTTAGCTTTCCAATTCCATGCATTCCAGAGAGATCATCCCATAGCAATTGCATGTAATGCATACATTTTTTTTGTAGAGTTATTCATGTCTCTCGATAAGAAATTTGGATGAATAAACTGCCCATATTCATGGATTATGAGTTGCAAATGATATAGATTGCTTAGAGATTTTGACTGTAAAGTTTGAAGAATCTTCAAGTATCAAAGATGCGACATATATCCAATTGTCTCGGGCATCATTTTAAGGTAGGGAACAAAGGTTTATAGCAAACGAATACTTTCTGAGACTTCGAAAATTTGAGCAAGTGCCTGTACCAAATTTTTTTATAAATTTCCCAATCCTTTGAGCACCTTAAATTGCTAACATCAACGGACAAGTGTCGAATCGTTTCAAGAATAAAAAAAAATAAACTCTTCACTACCAAAGACTCCAAAGCATTCTTGTGCAAAACAAACCATACCACCTTGTGCGGTAAATCATGCATTTTATAACATGTTGTGTTGAAATCGAATCTTGTCAGAAAAAGGTTTCTTGACTAAGACATCAAAATACCTCCGTCCAATAGTCTCCATAACACCACCAATGCCTTTAGTTTCCAATGGAGATCCTAAAATATTTTTTGAACTATTTTTCCAATAATGGATCTTAATTAAATAATTTTTTTTTTTTTTTCATCGGAGAGTTGTTCTTTACACCAGCAAATGCATGAGAGTTGAGAAGTAGCAAATACTCATCCTCTTCTAGGCCCGCTAATTTAATTATTTTCTCCTCCCTTTTAATTACCTTTGCAAATATTTGTGCAACTGAGTCCCTTCGGGTTGTTACCAAAATTTTCCTTCCCAAACTTCCATAAGCCAAAGGGACGAGTACCTTCTCCCGTTTACTTTTATCCTATTTTTATCATTCTACCAAATGTCATCCAGCACAAGTAAGAACCTTTTTGGACATTATCTCAATCCGAAAACTATCTTGAAATGCCTCAAATGTCTCCATATGAAGCCTCTCCTTCTTAAGAGATTCCAAAATATCTGCGATGATTTTTTTTTTTTTCATAGTTGTTGGCAACACCAACTCACATTTCAAGGTTAAATTCCTTCGTCATTTTATCTACATAAATATGTTGCGAGAGAGTTCTTTGCCATGCTGCCGTCCTCCACCACAGATAGAAGAGAAATATTTTCTGCACAAATCCGTTCCATTATCAAGAATTTGATGCTCTTCATTTGTCACTTTCTCAATTACTGCATAGCAAACAAAGATCACAATGCCCTTCACATTTGAGCTGAATCATCCTTATCAAATTCATGAATTTTTTGTAGTTGCATGGGTCAACAATATTTAAGGGGGATTTTTTCAGTGGTTTAGGGAGGATATTGCTGAGTTTATTTTCCTAGTATTTATTGTGAGTTCCTAACAGCATCTAGGGTTTGTGGGAGAGCTGATCTATCTCTCAAATAGTAAATCAATTGTATCTTGCTTTATTATTGAAGAAGAAATAAGAAAATCAGCCATATCTTTGTTCCTATGCTATTCTTCTCTTTTATTTGCTATTTTTACTTCCAAGGAGTATCACAATATTGAAGAATTAGATTAAAGCAGCCAATTTAATTGCTTATCAGATTACTAATACAAACATTCAAAATAGTAGCAAAAGTCCTTCAACCTCTACCAAAGAGAAGAATGCAACATAAAAATATATAGTAAAAGTTTTTGTTAATTAAGGTGAGCTGTTTAGGAAGGTTCATAGTCAAGAGGGAGTTGTTTATAAAAGTTCTTAATTAATAGAAATTATTTATGAAGGTTCCTAATCAAGGGGGGGGGGAGTTGAGCTGAAGTTTAGCTCAATGATTGGAGATTAAATGCACTTCCTAGCTCATTAAATCAAAAAGGTATGCTTTTGTTTCAAGCTCATTATGGAGGAGCTCAATGGAGTGGACTTGTGCATTTTCATCTTTCTTTGTCTTCTCGGTTTCCCCTTGCTGGTTGGTTTCCTATGATCTGCCCCTTTGTCTCCTGTGCTGGCTTTTTCGGGCACCTTGCTGGCTGGTTTCCCATGACCTGATGCTTTGCCTCCTGTGCTGGCTTTTCGGGTCCCTTGCTGGCTGGTTTCCAGTGGCTATTTGGGGGGGGGGGGGGGTTTGGGGGGGGGGGGGGGAATTCCGTGAGTTTTCTCTGTTTTTCTATGTAGAATTTCTGCTGCAATTTTTGCTGTCTTTTGGCATTCTTCTTGGTGATTTTGGCCTTTCATTTCCTCAATTCTTGTTGGATTTGGTTGGAGGTGCTATGGCTATTTGTCTACCTTCTTTTGCCTATAAAAATAAGATGTTTTGGCATGGAAAAGGTTGTTGAAAATTGTGAGCAAAGTCTCTACAAAAACCTAAGGGTTTATTCTTGGAAAAGCTTGAGAGCTTATTCCATCCCCCCTTTCCTCCTCTCTATTTCGTCTTGGCTTCTAATCACTTCTTCTCTACGCAAGTTTCACTCCACTTGTATCCTTCTTCTTGAGCTTTGGAAGTGTATGTTGGCTGAAATTTGAAGACATTTGCCGGAGGAGTTTGGAAAGGACGTTGGACTCTTTTGCAGTGGTGGACCCTTGGTGTACAAGCCTAAGCACAATTTTCTTAAATTTCCTACTTTCGTTGCATGTGAGGAGACCGCTAGACGGTTTTATTAAGGATAGTGTTTTTATATTTTTATTTTGTTTTGTTCGATTTAGCTTTTGTTTCTCCTAAGTTTGTTTGGATGTTTGCAAGCTACATATGAATCAAGTTTGGTTTAAGTCTTGTCTTGGTGTTCTCCAATTTGTCTCTTTACTCTAGTTTTGCTTGCATCACACATGCTATATGTCTTGATAAGAACAGATGTCAAGGTATAATGCAATCGTCTTATCTCCAGTACCAATCATTATCGATTTCAAATGGACTGTTTTTTTATGCTTTGATTATCTAGGAATCACAATGATGATTTTGGTATATAAAGTTCAAAGGATTCATATTAAGGAGAACTAGAAGACAAATGGCCAGACAGTTGGAACTTGGAATTTCAATGGTCATCATCCCTTGGGGTTCATGTTATTCCTAAATAATTATTAGAGAACATATCAATTAGATACAGAAATAACAAAAAAGATCTCAAGAAAAATTCTCATCAAATAAAAATTAATACAGCAATTCCATATAAAAAACTAAGAGAATGAAAAAAGGAGCTGTCAAGACAGGAAGTAAAATATACCCAGATAGCAGATTGGGAAGCCTCAGCTTCATCCGGCCACGTATCTGTTTGGCAAGGGTGTCAACCAAAGCTACTCTACCAAGTTTGCTTTGTGGAGCTCCATTCAGTATAGATCTTAGACTTTCAGCCTCAGCTCGCCACGCTGTTTCAAGAGAGTTCTCCAAGCCAACTGATCCAGCTTGTGCTGAAGCGATAGAAACAGACTGGCCAATTAGAGCAACCCATGGAATATCAGATGCTCTTGGAGGACCCTGGTTAAGTAGAAGGGCCTGAACAGCGGCAATAGCTTTTTGGTCTCCAGCAGCTTGATCAATCTTACTAATAACCCCAACTGTTCTGGTTGCTGTCATAAGCAGGTAAAAGTGGTCAAACAAGGAACATGAAGTCATTACTCCACGTGAGTAAAGGCTCGAATAAAAATATAAAACCTTCAGCATCAAATTCCTTAGCCAGTCTGAGAGCTCGCAAGGAAGAAATTTCAGGGGCCTGGGCAGCAGGAACTACTACTAGCAAAATTGCATCATTGCGTGCGGCATAATCAGTCGTCTAGTACCAGATACAACCAAATACCAAAACACGCAATGAAAACAACAAAAATCAGATTAATTCCATCAACAAGTATAATAACTGAATATATCAAAACTTAATAAGGTACTGCTCGTAAAGCACTCTATAGCATCAAATATTCTGGAAAGAGGCAAATTTATAAGACAGCCTAAAGTTTCTGGACAACTACATGTATGAGTCACAGAATCCAAGATAAATAATCATTCTAATAAATTAAAATATAGAAGAAGGAAGATGATAGCTACCCACCACAGACTCATCCATTGCTCGCTGATCTAATCCAGGAAGATCAATTAATTTTAATGGAGGAGCTGAAGAAAAAAAAAATTGCTTTTTTTAATAGAAGTTAATCAGCATTCAGAAAAGTAATAAAATGCAAGAAAAATAATATATTTTCTAAAAAAATATTATGTTAAGAAAATAGCACAGGCTCACGTGAGAAAACTAGCAGGGGCAATCAGCAAGGAAATGGAGAACAGTTTAAAAAACTTAATATTCCCAGATTATCCATTTGCAAGTCACCCATAAAGGAAATATAGTGAAAATATCAATGAGCTAAAATAGTAATTAAAAGACTTCTTTTAAATTCTGCAAAGAACACCCTTTAAATTCTTCAATGATGTGATTCTGAAACTCATTGCAACAGAAAGTTTCATTGCGTCGAGCTTCTCCTTCCAAAATCATTCCAAAGCATTAGAATTTTTTTAACCCAAAAGCATAAAACGCCTCTCCTTTTCCATGGTCAGCTATCTGATCCATATCGCCTAAGTAGGAAACCAGAAAAAATGCATCCACTGAAATCCATTTTGGATTTCAACCATCTCACTTTGTACCAATATTTACATATGTTAAGGGAATTTTGACAATTCTAAAAGGAAAATATTTCTAATTTTCAAGTGAATTTGAATTCTTTATCATAACATACTTCTTCTAAATCCATTTAGTTATGATTAATTTCCATGTCATTTGATGTTGCAACTCCTAAACTAGGTTGTGTGTTGATGCTATAAAAGAATGCCCATCTCGACTTAACTGGTTAATATAACAATCTCATATGCATAAGAAAAATATGTAGCACGTTGGACTTTTTCTTATTTCCTCTTTAAGCTGGATACTTATTTATTTTGCTTATAAATCCTCCTCTCTTTACAGCATAAACTGTTATGAAATTCACTTATATTTGAAAAAAAACTTAGATCCCAAAGGCTCCCATTTGTAGGATGCTATGTTTTAAAGAAGAAAATCAATGCAGTGAGATTGGAGTCAATACCTATTCCCATCGACCTGCGAGGAATGTTATCATTTTAATGCACTTGCAGACAGAAATTATCCTAAAGAGCATACATCTAAGTGACTAAATGTGAGATCTCGTTTCCTTACTGTTCCTCTCTGAATTGGATTTTCCTCCCAGGATCGGCCGGGACGATATTGAGATCGTCCAGGCCGATCAGTGCATTGAAAACGGCTGATTTCTGGAGTGTTTTCGGAAATGATTTCTGGACTGGATCGTCCAGGCCGATTTTGGATCGTCCTGGGACGATGGCAAAATTCCGAGAGCAAGGGTTTTTGTCAAATTAATTATCGTCCTGCATCGTCCTGGAAAATCGTCCTGGACGATTAAAAATTGGTCATATCGGCCAGGACGATGTGGCGATCGGCCGGGCCGATCAGGCTTAGGATATAAGCAAATCAGCTCGTTTTGAGGAGAGAGAAAATAATTTTATAAAACCAAAATATCTTATTGACTGGCTTAAACATTTAATCACACTGTTGTGGGCATACAAAATACAGGTAATAATATATAAAAAAGTGAAATTGTGAACCTCAAATAACAACTATTGATACTTTAAAGAACAATGCATCAACAACTCAACTAGGCTAGTGATTTGGCGTAAAACTCAACTAATGGTGCATCACATTTAGGCTTCGTTTGAGACAGCTTTCTTACTACTTCTTAAAGCAGTTTTTAGTAAAAAAGTTTTTATTTTTGTACCAAAACGCTGCTTCATGAAGCAGTAAGAAAGCCGTCCCAAACGAAGCCTTAAACTAAGCACATAAAGCACTTATACGGATAAAAAGCAAAAACAAATGAAGTTAGCTTCAATTATTAACTATAATTCTTACGGGAATAGCAGGATAAAACTCTTAATAAGTTTGCAAAACGATCCCTCAATGCCTAGCTAAGAGCTAACATAATTTATTGGATAAATATAACATTTGACTTGTAAAGGAGCGACAGAAGGAAAATGTAACCTGTGCTAGTTCGTAGCTTCAGATAGATCTCGTCTCCGTGACTTTTTCCAGAGCCCTTGCTGAGTCTATCTTGAAGAGAATGTCTAAGAGCACCTACTCAACGCAGAAAAAACATATAAAGCAAATGAGCAATACACGATAAGCTAATACAGGCAATGCGACTAAAGATGTTATTGCAAACACTGATACTGCAAATAAATGGAAATATCTGAAGAGGGGCATGATATCTCACTTGCAGAAACCTGCTGGGATTTGCTGTCAATCTGCAGAATTATGGATTTACTGTTTAGCGAGTTATCTCTCTGAAGGTCTATGCTGATGGGCGCCCTAGTGGCTCCGTTCTCTCCAGTTGGCTGCGTAATTAACGAGGCCAGTGAACAAAACCAGGTAAATAACATATTTTAGAGAACTACACCAGATGCAACATACCAGAATCGGATGTCCGATCAAGCTATTCAAAACTGCAGACTTCCCAGCACCCTAATTAGAGAATAATACCAAAATCAATGAAAACTCTAATCCCAAATAGATGAAACACGGCAATCATGCAGATCCGGATTAAAATAAACCCAACGAAGATTAAAAAACACGCTCTTTTGCAGGTGGATCGATCTTCCGTGATCCAGAAAGATGAACTTACGACATTTCCAAGCGCGACGACATTAAGAAAGGTGGAAGTACGGCGGGAAGGAGACTTTTCGTCGATTTCCTCGTCCGCGAGGAGAGCAGAGGCCTGCATCATGGACTCGGACAGCTGGATCAACTCATCCATGGCCTCCATAGCGCTCACCGACGACCGGCCGGCAGAACCTACTGCAAAGATCTGGATCTTACAGCCCCCAAAAAAGACGATAGAGCCCGATCGAACCCGCTGGACAAGACGCCAAGACTGCCGTACCTCCCACAAGCCCTCAGATCTAAGGCTATTCTATTTGAATTCGAGACAAAGCAGGACAAGAGGAAGAGGGGAAATTAGAGGTCGCTGCTCTTCCAGTCCAAGGAAGACGAGAGGGGAAAGGCCTGCGTCGATTAATACGTTTGAACGAAAATGTGAGAGTTCGAAGAGGCGGAGATTTCTTTCTTTAATTTTTTTTTTTAACTTTTCCGTTTTTATTTTCTTTTGTTCTATCGATACTTTCTTAACGAGAAGCTTAAGCCCGTTCAGGCAACTTTTGTTTTACATGCAGCCAAGGCTTTTAAAATGGGATCGGTCAATGAACTGGAAGTGACTAAGCCTTAAAAAAAAAAATTAACTAAACCCTTCCCGCCTAAGTCTTCTGCTCTTAAGAAAAAAAAAATCTTTTTAGTCCCACACCGTGAAAGTCTAAAATTTTTTGCTTTATATAATAATAAGACATTTTGACAGTGTTAATAAATGAGTTGTATGCGCTGGCCGGTAATTGTGAGCATACGGCTATTACTTTGATGAAGTTATTTTAGCTCAGAACTGTTCACATAATTATACAATAAAACTATTTTGATTTAATAGATAATTAATGACTCATAAATTTACTTAATTAAAAATTATTAATAAAGTCACGCGATCATTATTAATAAAGTCACGCGATCAAGAAGCTGCACAGCCGCCGTCGATCAAGAAGCCCACGCGAAAACGGTTTTGAGAAATCGGAGCCGGTTTTCCGGTTCAACGGTCGAACCGCCGGTTCGAAAGGTCCGAGACCGGTTCGATGCGAAAACGGTTCTGAGGCGAATCGTAACCGGCTGGCCAGCCGGTTCGCGGTTCAACCGGTTGAACCGGCCGGTCCGGTCCGATTTTAAAAGCCTTGCATGCAGCATTTACAATTATATATTTATATTTGACTGCTATTTTTTTGCTTTCTTTTATAAATTTTTATTATAAAAAAATTGCAGGTAGATCTAATAAAGTAATAAGCAATAACTCATTTGCACGAATCATCATAGTAATTTGGAACGAAAAAAAAAAAAATTTTAAGGATATTTATGTAATTTAATATTATTATTGTTAAACTAAACTATATGAGAAGGTGTTGCTGGTTAAAGTGTCTGACGCGCTGTTCTAATATTTTGCAAAATTAGCTTCTTGAGGAGAATGTGAGGAGAGAAAAGCGAAAAAAATAGGTAAAGATTTTTCAAATGAGTTTTAGAGTTATTGAATTGATTATGTATTATAAATTATAGAGAAATTTGACTTTATATGTCACATAATAGTATAAATTTGACAAATATGTCAATCATTTATTTGTTGGAAAAATATGCCCCAAAGTTATTTGAAATCAGAATACTTTTAATCATAGAGTATTTATTTAAAAACTATCAGGACCTTTGGACATGTTTCGATCATAGTTAAAACTACCTACGAGAAAAAATTAAACCTTATATGAAGCTTTCGGGGTTTATTTGAATATTGTCGTACAAATTTTGATAGGGTTAAATAAGGGTTGGATAAGGTTAGAACAAGGTTTGACTAAAGGTTTCGAATATGATTCGGTCAGGATTGATACAAAATAGTGCATTCCAATATGTTGAGCAAACTACGAAGTTAATATTGAAAAGTACAATCACAACATATATAACAAAATAACTTATAGCTACAATAAAATATAAATTAATAACTATAACTCATCATCATATCAAGTAGTGCATCATTGCACAAATAATCATTAATATTATTTCAAGAATTACAATTGATATAAACATTTACAATATTCTCATAATAACAAAAGAGTAAAATAAAAATTGTTATGAATGTGATGGGTATTTGGCCTTACAAAGTAAATTAATTATGCACTCGCACTCCACGAAGGCTACACCAATGTTAAATTACATAATTCTCTGGCTTTAAGACCTATTTTTCTTTAAACAATCATGCTTAGGTTTCACTAATAAGGATATTATGACAACTCCATCTATTACATTTGAAACTTCCAAGATGTCTTAATTTTACTTTAGATATTGTTGTGTCCTGAAAGATTTATGGCAGAAGAGAGATAAATTTAACGCCCTAATTTTGTATGAAGATCCAACACACAAGCATATATAAGAGAGAGGTGCATCGTTTAGAAGAAACACCATAAATTTTACATGGACACCCCTAAAAAGGAGGAAAAAACCAAGGGGTATGGCCTGATTTGAATAAATATACTAGTATTTGTAATTGATTACAAATGATACCCCACTACAGGAAAACAGCTCATTTCTGGCAGAATTTCACGCGAAAATAAATTTGTCACAAATTCCGGCGGCTTTTCCGACGGTTTACCGACGGAAATATTCCGACGAATTTTCCGGCGGATTTCCGACGGAATTTTTGTTTGGCTTTCTGGCGGATTTATTTCCGACGGAATTTCTTACGAAAGTTTTAAAAAACGAATTTGCACGCATACCATCAAATTCGTCGGAAATATTCCGACAAATTTGCTAGGTATTTGAACAACATACCATCACCTTTTGGATATATTTCAAATACCTAGCAAATACCGAGTTGTACCTAGTTTTTTCTAGCAATACCGAGCAAATCCTGAGAAAATACTAAGTTGTTCCTAGTTTTTTCTAGCAATACCGAGCAAATACCTAGCAATATCGAGCAAATCCTTAGCAATACCAAGCAAATACTGAGTTGTACCGAGTTGTACCTAGCAATACCGAGCAAATACCTAGCAATACCGAGCAAATCCTTAGCAATACCGAGCAAATCCTGAGCAAACGGCCTTAGTTAGGGCATTAGAAGGAGGGCAGGGAGATCGGGCCGTCGGATCAAGTTCCTTGATCCAACGGTGGGATTCAAACCGGTTTGAAAATTCAATCAAATTTTGATTAAGACCTAGCTGGACTCAAGGGACTGAAATCAGGTGCAAAATTGAGTCAAGTCCGGTTCGATTCGGGTCAACTCGAGCTCGCCTCGACTCGACCAAAAATTAATTCAATAAAATAGGATAAAAATAAATCGAACTCAAATCCATGCCGATTCGACTTAAATCGAGCCCAACGAGGTCCGATCGAATCGATCAAATATGCTAAAGAGCAAATCAGGCTAAAAATGAGGTCAACAGTGGCAACATGTTATTGACGGCCGAACGTACCTCTACGTCAGGTCAGAGGACGTAATAATTGTTCCTGTCTTGGGGGGATTCGTGTGTGAGCCCCGCTTGCTAGACCGGGCGGGGGAGGGATTAGGGGATCAAGAGGCTTCAGCGGTAATGTTTTTTTTTCATTTTTTTTATTTCCATCGTAATTTATATTCACCGGAAATTTTTCCGGCGGAAAGTTTTATGCTGATAGCACATTTCTGATGCGTGTTTTACTGGCTTAAATATTTTTGCCGGAAATGCTAATTTCCGGCGGATTTTGACCATTTTCCGGCAAAAAATAGGCGCCGGAAATTGACGTTTTTCCTATAGTGCCCCTTCTTAGAGGAACACGTTGGCTCAATATAACAAATATACATCATATAAAGCATGTTATATAGTTGGAGAATGACATAATAGTTGTTCTCAATAGAATGTTGTTATGTTTGTTTGGTTGACAGATCTATACTTGGATGATAATGGTTAGACGAACTGTAGTCAGCATGCGATGAAGGTTAGAAGGATCATAATCGGGCAACGGTAGTAGGAGGGATCGTAGTTGACAGGTAACATTAGTCAGAAGGATCGTATTCGGACGACTGTGATCGGAAGGACCGTAGTCATACAATGGTAGTTAAAAGGACTGTAGTTAACAGGCAACAATAGTCGGATCGAGAGCCTTCAGCGGTAATGTTTTTTTTTTCATTTTTTTTATTTCCGTCGTAATTTATATTCGCCGGAAATTTTTCCGGCCGAAAGTTTTATGACGATAGCACATTTCCGACGCGTGTTTTACCGGCTTAAATATTTTCGCAGGAAATGCTAATTTCCGACGGATTTCGACCATTTTCTAGAAAAAAATAGGCGTCGGAAATTGACGTTTTTCCTGTAGTGCCCCTTCTTAGAGGAACACGTTGGCTCAATATAACAAATATACATCATATAAAGCATGTTATATAGTTGGAGAATGACATAATAGTTGTTCTCAAGAGAATGTTGTTATGTTTGTTTGGTTGACAGATCTATACTTGGATGATAATGGTTAGACGAACTGTAGTCAGCATGCGATGAAGGTTAGAAGGATCATAATCGGGCAACAGTAGTAGGAGGGATCGTAGTTGGTAGGTAACATAGGCAGAAGGATCGTACTCGGACGACTGTGATCGGAAGGACCGTAGTCATACAATGGTAGTTAAAAGGACTGTAGTTAACAAGCAACAATAGTCGGAATGAACGTAGTTGAGCAATGGTGGTTGGAATGACCATAGTCATGCAATGACAGTCAGAAGAACTGTAGTCAGATGACGGTGGTAGTGAGAATTATAGTCGAGCAATGGTGGTTGAAAGGACCATAGATGGGTGGCCGTGGTTGGAAGGACTATAGTATGGCGAAGGTGGTCGGAGGGATCATAAATGGCGAGCTTTAGAGGTTGGAAGGATCATAGTCGAGCGATAGTGGTTTGATAGACCTTAGTTGACGAATGATGCATGAAGATCAGAAGGACCGTAGTTAGATGAAGGTGATCGGAAGGGTTGTTAGTGGCTTCCATATGGAGGTTCAACGGTCATTGGCGGCCAGAGGTTCATCAGCGATGGCCTTGCAGCACAGATTTGTCGGGCGTGATGCCGAGATGGAGCTCCAGAGTCTTCTTTTCCACCTTTTTCCTCCTCTTTAGTGAAGAATGAGTGGTATATTTATAATTTTATTAGGAGTGGCATGGCTAGTAAATAGGAAGAAGATCAAATGCAAGCTGGGAGTGTTCCGATGGACAATCAATATCAACTCTCTTGATCAAAGATCATTTATCGAGCTTGAAGTACCTTAATGATGTCATAATTTGGTGATCTTGGGCTTGTTAGATTCATTTTGTCAAGCTGCTAGATTCAACTATAAGCTCATCACATTTGGATATTATTTGGTCATTCAAATAATGCTCTAAAGCTTCTAAATAGGCTTTGGTAATTTGATTTGGATCCATTTGGGCTCAGATTGGATAGAATTTCTGTCATTGCACTCGTCTACTTTGAGATCTTCAATTTGACTATAA